GTTAGTGGCCCTTGGGTAAATTCAGGTAAATATTTACAATAAGTAACAGTGCATCTTTGAGCGGCAAGGACAGCTACACACAGTATCTCTTAAAATTAAGTAAGTAAACAAAAAGTAACATATTTGTTTACTATAATGTCGGTGCTGGCTGTACAAGTTGAAAAACATTGTTTTACTTCGAAATACAACTAATTTTAAAAGAAAACTCGACGTAAATATGGGCAAGTGAGCCCCGATAAGCCAGCATTGTGATTTGCTAAATCTTCAAGATGAAGAATGTTGCTTGCTCTCTGATTGGCCAAACGAAACACAGTAGGGACCTCTGTCGGCATTCAGGTGAACCAGACCCAAAACCCAAATATCTTCGTAAGAACACGTACCGGAATCGCATGTAAGCATCTTCTTAGGGCGTACTTTGGAACCTTCGTAGCACACCTACTTACGAAGAAGTAGATGGAGCTTCATGCATCTAGGTCCTGGGCAGCAAGCGTCGTCTCAGGAACACTGATGGTAATTAAGTCATTTGCACCGTATAAGGGGAGGTTAATAGTTGCCACGAACATACTGTTCGACCCAGCAGTCCGATAAGCAAGTCTGAAAAGAGCCGATTCAAGACCAGTGTCAGAAGTAGGTCGAGGTTGGGCTGCTGATTGGGTGTTGGCCCCCCTCCCCCCCAGTGTTGCGTCTGGATGGTAGTGCAGAGAGAGCTTCAGGTTGGTTGGCACGCTGGTGAAGACGGCGTTGGTGATGGTGGTGGAGGCAGGTCGACTCAAGTCCTTAATTTTCTTTATTGCTTCCTGTCGGCATGGGCAGCGATCGGAAACATGAGAGTGGTCACCATCGCAGACGAGGCAACGATCGAAATCAGCCATGTAAACGGTGTAGTGGTGGTCTTCTGAGCAGATGCTGCTCTCTTGGTGACGCGTTCCTGGCATTTATTGGTGGAGTGAGTGTACTCATAAGACATGAAGCACTGCTTGAGGTCGTAATAGCATTCTTTCATGGTCTGTGCTGGCGGAATCTTGACCCCAAAACACTTGAGCCCTTGTGAGGCGGCGAGGTCCGTTGCAGCTACCGAGATGAAGATCAGTTTCAAAGTAGGCCGGGTGCTAGTGGGGTAGATGGTAGTGAGAGTAATTAGTTTCATGGAGGAGTTTTCGGTTTAGTAGCTGGCAATAACTTCGGGTGTGTGTTCGATGATCCATGTGCTAGCTCCCCTGATGGAGATCGTTATCTCGGCAAGGAAACATCGAGGGATTGTAAGGCTGGTATGCGCATCTTGCAGAACGGGACGGATGGAATTTAATTCCAGGTGATCGATGTTTTCATTCTGGGAGAAGAGTACAGCAACTCCCACTCCCACCTGACGTATGTCGACGGGCAACTCCCACTCCCATCTGACGTATGTCGACGGGTAACTCCCACTCCCACCTGACGTATGTCGACGGGCGTGACGTTGGTGATTGTGGAGAGTGCTTGCAGATCATACATTATGTACGCATGATCGTCCAGAAAGGTAGCCTGCACCTTCTGAAGTATAGTACCAGATGGCTGGTCCCATAAGCCACTCCTTCAATGGGCCACAGTGGTGATGGATGTATTGTTGTCAGGCTCCAACGTCTTGCAGAGTGGTAGAGCGACCCGACGGCCTCTGAGTGCAGAATCCGTGACAGTGTTCGAGACCACCTTCCATGTCTCTCTTCACCCACATATACCCAACCGATCTCTCTTCACACACACCCCTCCCTGTCTCTCTTCACACACACACACACCCTCACTGTCTCTCTTCACACACACACACACCCTGACTGTCTCTCTTCACACACACACCCTCACTGTCTCTCTTCACACACACACCCTCACTGTCTCTCTTCACACACACACACCCTCACTGTCTCTCTTCACACACACACACCCTCACTGTCTCTCTTCACACACACACACACACCCTCACTGTCTCTCTTCACACACACACACACCCTCACTATCTCTCTTCGCACACACACCCTCACTGTCTCTCTTCACACATACACACACCCTCACTATCTCTCTTCACACACACACACCCTCACTGTCTCTATTTACACACACACCCTCACTGTCTCTCCTCGCACACACACCCTCAGTGTCTCTCTTCACACACACACCTTCACCGTCTCTCTTCACACACACACCCTGACTGTCTCTCTTCACACACACACCCTCACTGTCTCTCTTCACACATACACACACCCTCACTATCTCTCTTCACACACACACACCCTCACTGTCTCTATTTACACACACACCCTCACTGTCTCTCTTCACACACACACACACACACACCCTCACTGTCTCAACTCGCACACACACCCTCACTGTCTCTCCTCGCACACACACCCTCACTGTCTCTCTTCACACACACACACCTTCACCGTCTCTCTTCACACACACACTCTCACTGTCTCTCTTCACACACACACACCCTCACTCTCTCTCTTCACACACACACTCTCACTGTCTCTCTTCACACACACACACACACACACACACCCTCGCTGTCTCTCTTCACACACACCCTCGCTGTCTCTCTTCACACACACACACACACCCTCACTGTCTCTCTTCACACACACACACACACACACACACACACTCTCACTGTCTCTCTTCACACACACACATCCTCACTGTCTCTCTTCACACACACACACACACACTCACACACCCTCACTGTCTCTCTTCACACACACACTCTCACTGTCTCTCTTCACACACACACCCTCACTGTCTCTCTTCACACACACACCCTCACTGTCTCTCTTCACACACACACACACACACACACACACCCTCACTGTCTCTCTTCACACACACACACACCCTCACTGTCTGTGGGGAAAGCCTAGCTCTAAATATTAATAATAGTCATGTTAATTGAATACAACGATATCTTCGAATGACCACCTCTTTTAATACAAAAAAAGAGGAAAAATAAATAAAGAAATGTGAAATTATAATCCAGGAATCAGTGCCTATGGATCTAGATTAATTCAATAAAATATTAAGAGAGCATTAAATGGGCTGTAGTTATAATTAATGAAAGAGCTGACTTAACACATAACTCTGGGGGATTACATCTAAAAGATTAATACATCCTTACTATTATATCCCACGCTGGTACTTCGTCAGAGTAATTATTGAATATTAATTAAGTAAATAGTTACATTAAATAAATAAATGTTGAATTCTCTCTAATTAAAAAGTAAAATATTAAATACATGCATAATAAATGAATGGTACATGCATAGATAATAAATCATATAAGTATAGAAATTAATAATGTAACAAGTTTGTCTACGAGAAGGGAAAGAGCTGTTTAGCTGTAAAGAAGGCTTCACAACGTGTTTCTCGATATGAAATACTCATTGCCAGGCTACTGGTGGGAACACGGGAGAATGGAGGCCGCATGGAGGGGAAGACTATTTCTCCACTTGTCCTTACGAATCACGCTGGAATCACAGATAAAATGTAAGAAATACCTAGGTTAACAGAATATACTACTGTTCATTACAGAAAGTGGGGACATGAATGAAATGGAAACTACCGTGGATTATTTTGTCGACTTGCTAATAACGACGAGCAACCTCCCCGTTGAAATTCATGTGCACATATACCAACATCAGCAAGAACAATGATATAGTACGTGTCCGGCGAGCGGACTTATGGGAGACACTGTCGATCCCTGACGTTCGCTGTTACAGAATGTATGATTACAGGACCAGTCTCTCTCTTTCTTCTTCGCCGGGATATGCATGCGCAGTATGCTCCATTGGAATCCCGAGCGTAAAGTAATTTACTTACTCGTAATTAATTAGAGAAGTAAGGAGTTATGACAAATATTAATGTCTTAATAAATACATTATATCATAATACTATTTCTCGTATGGCAACTTGTTTAATTAAGACTGCGTGAAATAAACGAGGAAGGTTTAGTGTAGACTTATTTTACCTCGCAATAATATCTACAGGAGTAATCAATCTGATTACATGATCGAGTTCAGTAAGCAATAACACGCGAAATAAGCAAACTTTTTCATAGAAGATTATCTTCGGGAAGGGTAAGCAAATAACTGGACTCGGTAGAATTCCAATAATATGTGGAATATTTCAGGTTTCAGCCTAATACAACATCACGGCGCCATGGAGACAAGGAAGGATTTGGCTAAAATTGCGTTGCAATAGAAAAACATTAATTTGGTTTATTTTACGAATTAGTAATGAAGTAAATGCTATTGTTAGCAAATAAATGAGAGTTAAATGTTAGTTATTTCCAGCATAACTATGGGTGAGGAAATTTCGGGTCGCAGTTCACTGTTGAGTACTGACGTACCTATTCCTGCCCTGAATTTATATCATAGAGTTAGTAGGTTAGTACATACATAATGGATGTCCCGAATCTGCTACAGCAGATAAGACTCTAAGTCTTTATGGGACCCAAAATTAAAGATTGTAACATTAAAGCGTTACTTCACCTAAAACAAGAACTTTCTAAATCTACAGTAGACCTAAGGAATCGTGTCGCTATGACGTGTAATGATCAAATTACTCAGTCACTGAATGGTCTGCAAATTCAAAATTCTCAGGAATAGATAGTATTAACATATAGTCTGTATTCTACGTGACTATACATGAAATGATATATAAAATTTATATGATTATATCATTCAAAATCAAGAATGCATCGAATCTACAGTGAGGTCGCTGTCTAGGTGACCTGATCAACCAGGCTGTGACTCATACGTCAGGCTGCGAGCAGCCGCATCCAACAGCCTGGTTGATCAGTCCAGCAACCAGGAGGCCTGGTCGACGACCGGGCCGCGGGGACGCTAAGCCCCGGAAGCACCTCAAGGTAACCTCAAGGTAGGCTCATAGTGATTTATAATTGTTGAGTTACTGGACATCAACCCATCACTGTATCATCATGAACGAATTAAATTCGAATGATAAGTTATCTGCACTTAGTCAGAATTAAAGTATTGTTGAAGTTTCAGCTTACATTGCTGAGCGGTGACTCTAGGTGGTCGTGTGCTCTGTTGAGCAACATTACTATCTTCTGAAACTTGTGGTAAATTTACCTCTGTGGAACAGTTATGTTCAGCTAATTCTAGAGGTACTAACTTCTCCAGGGTTTTCAAGGTAGTAGTGCCTCGACACAGAACCTTAACTATCCGTAGGATACCTTGGCGATTGGGATGGACATCGACAATGTTGCCTATAGGCCAATCTGACCTAGGTCCGTCACTGTCAACTACGACTAGATCGCCTGGTTTCAGTTGAACTTTATTGAAGGGGCTGGCAGCTCCTTAATGATACTCTCTCAGAGCAGTGAGATGTCCACGAGTCCATACTTCTTTCCATTTCTCCCTTGAAAGATATTTGTTACTTTCCACCAAGTCACTTCTACTAACACATGAAGGGTCAGTTGGATTCTCGTCTGCTAGAGATATTAGAGGGCTCAAAAGACCACCATGAATCAAATGAGAGGGACTCAGGGGTTCTCTCTGGGAGTAGTCATCAGAAAGGTAAGTTAATGGCTCGTGCCTCAATTTCTGTGACAAGGGTTTGCAACTCAGTGAGGCTAATTTTCTGTCGGTGTAAGACCTTTCTTAGGCATTTCTTGACAGTTCCCACCATGCGTTCATAAAAACCGCCTTGCCACAGGGCTCGTGGAGGAATAAATTTCCAGTGGCACTGTCTGTTTTAGCACTGAACGTACCTCTGGATGGTTCCATATCTCTCGTAGGCATGCTTCTCCGGCTACAAAATTTGACCCGTTATCTGAGATCATCAATTTGGGGCAGGATCTGCGTGCAGCAAATCTACGAAAGGCTTGGAGAAATGCTTCTGCACTCATGTCAGAAGTTACTTCTAAGTGTACACCTCGTATGGTTGTACACGTGAAGAGGGAAATATAGGCTTTCACCGGAATTTTATCTGGAGACCCATTTAAAATTAAAGCTCCTGTGTAATCGACACCTGTGGTCTCAATAGAATGAAGGTGGACAACTCGCTCCTTAAGGAGTGGTGGAGGTCCTGGGTAAGGACACACTCGAGCATCATACCTCCTGCAGACTACACAAGACTTGATAAGGGATTTGACAGCTTGGCAACCTTGAGGAGGCCAAAATCTCTGTCTAAGATCAGTGAGAGTGTCTAACACTCCACCATGTAAGGTATTATGTTGATGGTAATGTAAAACTATAAGTTTAGTTATGATGTGGTGACGTGGTAGTAATATAGGATTTTTTGTTTCCAAATCAATATCTGCATGAAGCAGACGTCCTCCACACCTTAGTATATTGTGGTTATTTGAGCCATACCAAATGCCCAGAGACTTACTTAACTTATCTGAAAGATGTTCATATTCTCTCCCGTAAGTCTCTTGTTGAGCTCGTTTGATCCAATATTTGATAGGACTGGGAAATCGATGTTTGATCCCTACTTTGTTGAGGAAATAAAAGACGATTTCGGTAACTCTCAGTAACTTGTCTAAACTAGAGTATGAATGAGGATTGATAGCCACAGATGGAGGAGGTTCTGGTTCCACCATGGGTGCAGTGATGTTGGTCACGATGACTTGTGGCTTTTGTTTAGGCCACTGACCACTAACCAGCCATGGGGGTCCATTAAACCACATCTCGGTTTTAACTAACTGTTTTAATGTTAAACCTCATGATAAGAAATCGGCTGGATTGTCCATGGTGGGGACATGTCTCAATTTATATCCAGCAGATAGTTCATGTATTTCCCTAACTCGATTACTCACGTAGGAAGTTTTGTTGTTATTATTTCTTACCCATTGTAAGATTGCCTCGTTGTCTGACAACACTACTATCTCACCAAAGTGAATATTACTGAGTGTCTTGGCCAGGCAATGACCCAGTCTTACTCCTACTAATAAGGCAGTTAACTCCATTTGGGTAAGGACCTCCTTTTCATTGGGTCCACTCTTGCCTTTGAAGTAAATAGAAATGATTGTTGTGTATTAACCAGATAGGCTACTGCACCATATGCTTTGCCTCAGGCATCGCAAAACACATGTAAATCTTTGGGTAAGTTCTGTCCTAAAGCATTACGTGGAAATTTCACAACACCAAGTTTATTAAAATCCGTGGTCAATGTCTGCCATTTGTCTTGCAACTCAATTGGTAACGGATTATCCCAACCTAAATTATTCTGCCATCACTCCTGCATGAGGGGTTTGCCCTTAATTAAAATTGAACTAAGCAAGCCTAAAGGGTCAAAAGGTTGACTGACATGAGAGTAACAACTTTCTCATGGTTAGGGGTAATTTGTTAGTTTCCACTGACTTGACATTCAACTCGTCAGTAGATGTGTCCCATTCCATGCCTGGAATTTTTAGTTTATTGGGTACGTAATAGTCGGAAAATTCTTTCTCGATTATCTGATTTAATTGTTGGTTATTAGAGGCCCACGACTGTAAAGGCATATTGGCCCCTAGCAATTCACAGTTAGCCTCATGGTAAATTTCCCCTAATTCATTTTCATCATTAGTGATTCATTGAAAGTTCTCCACATACAGTTTGTTGCTAATTTCAGCTTTATAGGAGCTTTTAGATTTCTTCAGATGAATGGTAGCTTGGAGTAAATATGGTGAAGACATTGCTCCAAATAGTACTGATGCAAACCGGTAAGTGTTGACGTCACTATTAGGGTCCTGTGGATCCTTTACCCAGAGAAATTGAGTAAAGTCACGATCCTTTTCTTGTAAGCCTACTTTTAAAAAGGCTTTGCTGATATCAGCGGTATAGGCGAAAATGCCGGAGCGAAATCGTAACAGTACATGTTGTAGCCATTGGGTTAGGTTAGCTCCAGTTTGTAGACAATTATTTAATGATACGCTGTGTCTAAATCTTACAATTTATATACAGAGGGGATTCCCTGGAAACAAACGGAAACTGTCTACTTTCCGCTTGTTACAATTTGTAATAAAGTTGTTACATCTTGGCTTAACGTGTTTATGACGTATTAGAACGTTTTTACAACTTGCTATATTGTTTGTTATAACTGGTTAGGAGGTGTTAAAACTTGTTATAACGTTGTACCAACGTCGTAGTTTAGGTGTTTGTGTTTGGCGGGATTAGACTCGTCATCCTCAGATATGTTAGATATGGTGGGTGCCTAAAAGCTTGGTGGACAGCGCTTCGGATTCGTAGTCCTGAGGTTCCGGGTTCGATACCAGGTGGAGGCGGAGACAAATGGGCAAAATGTTTCTTTCACCCTGATGCCCTTGTTACCTAGCAGTAAATAGGTACCTGGGAGTTAGACAACTGCTACAGGCTGCTTCAGGGGGTGTGGGGTGTTTGTAACAAATAGGAGGCCTGGTCGAGGACCGGACTGCAGGGAAGCTAAGCCCTGAAATTAATTCAAGATAACCTCAAGATAGATGTCTCTGGTTAGTAGGGGGTGACTCTTCGGAGCCTAGTCACGCCACTATACAATTATTTGGTTGCTTGACAGTTGATTTAGGTTTTTACTGGAAAAGCACCGGTCCTGTGAGTAACTTGCCTCCAGCGGATAACAACAAATCCATACCCTGTTGTCTGGTGCATCCAGTTATAAATTTATAATAGTAATCAGCTCCAATAAGTATCCCAACGTCGCTGAGACAGTCTGAATTTATTTTATAATCAACGAGTCTCATGCCGCTGCATTTGAGATGTTTAACAGTGTGACCAAGACCTGTAACCAGCAAATCAGAGGGGAATCTTGCCCACAACTACTACTTATATTGGGCTGGTGCAGCCTCCTAGACGTACCAACACTTTGACTACCTGTTAGTCACGAGGCCCACTGATGGTTAGGAATCCAGAAATATTTAAATTCACTCAGTTAATAGTTGTTAGTTTCAACTGGTCAACTAACTGTTGAGATATAAAGGTTTTCTGTGAACCTTGTTCAAAGACACCACGAGTGGAAATCCTAGATCCCTTGTTAATTATTTTCAATTAAGCCGTGGGTAATGTAGTGACCTGACTCAGTTTCGAGTACATTTATGACAAGATGTACTTTACAGTACTGTACTGATGTAGGTTTAGTTGAATCTCGATAAGGATTCGTTAATTTTGATTGGGCCTTTCTATACAAGTCATAATGATATGCACCTTTGTTGCACTTGCTGCACAAGCGTAAGGTGACTGTACAGTTATCAGGGTTATGAGAACCCATGCACTTTGTGCATCTATGCAATTTTTGGAAATGATGAATTCTCGAATTATGATTTGGGTAAGTACAATAACTGTAAATGAGGTGTTCACTAGTGCAGAACAGACACTTTTTCATTGTCGAAGAAGTGGTAGGAGCTGCATTCATTACCGGGGTTGAAGAATTTACTGTATATATACCAACATTTCCAGATTTCCATTTAGGAGAGGATTTAGTTGAATTCGGGTTTACTGCAGTAATTGCAGTACGTTAAAGTTTATGATGAGAATTAGTAGAGGGTTTGAAACACTCTTCCCATCTTGATTGGCCTTTTGTCTGTTGACTAAGGAGCATAAACCTTCTTCGATCTCAGTTATGGTCAGAGAGGTTTTGTTGTACATGGCACATAATTTATCCAAAGTTTCCCTTGGTAATTTACGTCTTACGGCTGCTTTTGTCATTCATTCATCAATCTGAATTTGGACTTTGAGGCTTAAGGCCTTAAGTAGAGATTAATTGTAGTCTGAAGGTTTGAAGAGAATCTGTAGAATTATTAGTGGCCGGAAGGTCCAGAAATTTTTGGACTAAAATAGTAATAGTCCTTACATTGTTATCATAGTTGCTCTTAAGCAATTGAACAGCTAGGTCATAACCATTACTGGTCAGGGTTATGTTTGAGATTACTTTCAAGGTTCCATCTCGTAATAAAACTTGCAAATAGGTGAACTTGGTTGTTTTGCGAATTTTAGTTTTGGAGTCTACTGTGTTATCTAGCAACCCATCCTCCGAATTGACAGTACGATTTAATACTAAGTGTAATAAGTACACTTTCTTACTGTAATAAGCAGTGCATAATTGCACTTATGGGGCTGTTACATTGACCCAACTCCCTCCCCCACTTTAGTTCTTCTCGTTTTCTGTTAAGTCACTCAGAATTTTAGGATGACGTTTTCAATTTCGATTTGCAATACAAAAGTTTTAAATATCAGGAATTTCTTTTTCAGGTTTATTAAACAATATAGACTTTATACAAAATTTTAAAATATCCTGAGTTACTTTACAATTTATTGATATATTTTAGTTTTGTTTTATTAGTTTTATAAAACTGTAATATCAATATAGCTATAGGTTAAGTACTAATTGTAATTAAGAAGCAATACAATTATTATCTTCAAAAACTAAGACGGTTAGGTGAGGTTGTCTATCTTACGTTACGGCTCGAAACCCTAACAACAGCATGGACCTTAATTGTCTAGGGATACTACAAACTGCTGTTCTCAAGAGCGGGTCACCAGTGTAACCCAATGATAAGTACAAAGCAACTTGATAAAATTTCTCCCTTAGGAATGAAGAAATATACATATAAAATTTATATATATATATTCAATATAAATCTCAATAGTATATATAATTACAGATGGTCAATATATCACAATTATATCAGATTCAAATATACTGTCTCTCCCAGAAATTAATATAACAGATTATTCTAGTTATGGTTATGACAGAACAAAAATGTACAACTTAACTCCACCAAGATGTTAACTCTCCTGACCCGTATCAGCTACTAACTACTTTATCTGCGGGTGTCAAAATCATTGCTTCTGCCCCGCGAAAAATTGCCAAACTTACAGAGTATTAATTTAGCTTACATAGAGCAATATAATGTGACAAGAGTAATCTTAAACTAACTTACTAAATGGTTAGATTAACATGCATAACAGAGATAATGTAATTATTAATACATGCAGTAATTAAATTAAAACAAACGGAGGGAAATGTTGGCAACGCCCCCCCCAGCCACCAGGAACTAAAAGTCTCTAACGGGGAGTTGCCCCCTAATGTTCAACAATTAGAATTCCCATCAGTGTTTCCTACTGATGGTCATTATGAAGCCACTTTCCCACGAAATCAGCCGTGAGCAAACAAAGAAAAATAACGATTCCCACGGGTGGATAAAGTTGGGCCTATTCCCCATATAATATATATAGCTATATCATCAATGACATATATAACACAATAAATCACATGCAAGTGATTCAAATATATATATGTAATGAAATATACAATCATATTACACGGACTGCATATATAAGTACAAATTAATTTATTTAATTACGTATCTATAGAGGTACGTAACACTTCCACCTCCAAGAAAAAATGCAATAGATTAAAGATCAATGGCATTTTTCCCGAAGTAAAAATGTATGACACTTGAATTTTATGGTATTAATTACACCAAACATGTAAAAGTAATAAGAACACATTTCTGGACAAAAATGAAAACACTCCAAATATATTCTTACATGAAACTCAGAAATTTCAGTCTTATGACAATGTTCTACATATGTTTCACTGGAGTATGCAAATTTATCTCTCCAGGGTACTATCTCATTTATTTCACTTTGTTTCCGATCAAATTTCACACACCTATCAACAACATTATCATCATTAGCATGAATAAATTTGTCA